ATCGTCAGAAGAAAGAAAAAGGTAGAGGGAGGGGGAAGGAGAGAAAATAAAAATTCGCTTATCTGTCTGTCCTTAGACCAAACCAAACCAAATACCGTCTTATCTTCCCGGCTGCCTGTATTTTGTTTTTCTAGTGAAACAAAATTTGTTATTGAATTATCAAACGATATAATAATTATTAATGTGTATTTATTTATATATTTCCTGTCCATCTATATTGGGAAAAGAGGTAAAACAACTTAAGTTAATAAATTTATTAGTGATTACTTCCTTTAGTCGTTTTAATAATCTATACACATAAACTATTTATCTGCATTTAGACAAAATTAGTTGCCGAGCAAAATTTAATTAACCGTTTAATTGATCAGTTCCTTTACTCCTACATTTCTTTGGTTGCAGTCTTATTTGTTCAAGCCTCTCACGTGAGGCACTCAGACACCTCTTTCTATCAAGTGAACATCTTACTTGGTCTTGAAATAGGGTTTGACGTCGTTGTCGTCGTCTTTGAAGCTCTGTTGATAATCCTTTTCTTCTGAGTGATATTTCCATTTCACTGTTATATGAAGCACATCAAATATTTAGCATGAATAGATATTGAACAAAAAGCGATTTATATAATGCCAGACGTAATCAATGAATCATAGATGCCATTGAACGGTTCATTGGCCTCTATTTTAGTTGTGAATTCTTTATGTCCGTTTTATTAAATCACAATATATTGTTTCAAGACTTTTGTTTCAATGCATCTCACTATTAAAACTTCCTAACAATTACCGTCATTTTTGACGATACGAGTACACTAGTATATATATATATATATATATATATATATATATATATATATATATATATATATATATATATATGAAGAGAGAGAGAGAGAGAAAGAAGAATGAAAGAACTTCTGTAGATAGATAAAAAGAGAGATAGAAAAAAATTGACCTCATTATGACCATGTAAGGAATATGTATGTATATATGTGTGGGGAGTAGGGTTGTTTGTTAGGGTGGTGTTCTGTTTCGCAACCACGATGAGTTATAAATCAAAAATGTCGTCCGAAACCTGGAAATGATATCTCAACTGTTTTTATCCGACATTTCAGCAACTATAGTATCTACAATTGCAAAAATTATTGTTTTGAAACAATCTGCATTGATCATCAGAGTCAGCCTTTCAGTTTAGTGTTTTTTTTCTCTCTCTCTCTTCTCTTATATATATATATATATATATATATATATATATATATATATATATATATATATATATATATATTTGTATGGTTTCCATTATTCTTTTATCTTTTTCATTCTTCCTGTTTCTTCTCATCATTTTAGCGAACATTGATTTTCCTTTTATGTTTTTTTCTTTCTCCTTTCCATACATAGAACGCCTTCAATTTATTCCTAGTCGTGCTACGCATGCGTATCTACATTATGCTAACCCCCAAAAGAAATAAAACAAATATAAAAGGTAATTATTATTTGCGTCAGTTCAACACAAAATCCATTACCAAATATTTCTCCCTTATATTTTTATCTTACCATTTTTTTCTGTCTTGATGACATTTGGAATTTGTATTAGCATCCATTACCCATTTTTGACTCTCTAACTGCGGAGAGAAGCGGGTTAGAGAAGGAAGTGTCTAATGTTCGTTTAATTGTTATTATTTAATCCTCATTTTTTCCAGACATGAAATATTTTGTTTATTTTTACGGCGCGTCATCTGGGTCAGTGCTTGCTTCTCTACGAATGCACGTAGATGCTTATACCATATGAGAATCATAGAATTTATGTCTCCACGACTGATCACTTGGTATAAGGGTTTTCATTTCAACTTCATCGAGATATTTACGACGATTAGCTTAGTTCGGCATAGGGTCAAATTGAGAAAAAAACGTAAGGTATGAAGATTGAGTTGCGCCAACTGGAGAGGAGAAAATATCTAACATGTAATTAATAATATCTAATTATGAGTTCTTATTTATTTCTAAGCAAAGTTGTTTAATTTTGGCAATCTTCTATGAAGAGATGAACTGTATTTGATAGCATAAAAGAACCTCCCTCTGTCATTTACGTTTGTGAGGTTGTTCGGAAAATAATGGCGTCAAGATTACATCAATTTAAACTTGAGCTAGCTAGATGTATCCTTAAATTCTATGCTAACAGTTTCTTTTCTCGCACTTTTCGCTTGTGGAACTCTCTTCCGGCTTCATGCTTTCCAGCCAACTTTAATCTGCAAAAATTTAAATACAATGTCAATCGCTATCTACTGTCCTTCTGATTAATCTTTTCTCTTCTCGCTCATTATTGATGTTTCTGTTCCTAATTCTTTCAAGCACTGTAACACCCTTGTGACTTAGTGGCTTTACTGCTTTGCATGGGGTGATACTGATTTTTTAAAAAATGTTCGATTTTTGAATCAGCTTTTATTCGTGAATTAATGTATTTAAACAGTGCTTAAATCAGTCGAAATAGGAACACTGAAAATCTATACAGTTCTCCGATCGTGTTATAGGAATATTTTTGCCTTTACGATAAAACTCTAATGGTTTGGACGCCAAGAAATCTTTGAATGCAGTAATGAATGAATATATATATATATATATATATATATATATATATATATATATATATATATATATATATATATATATACACAAAGATATAACAAGAAACACTATATAAATAAACACAACATATATATATATATAAATATATATATATATATATATATATATTATATTATATTTCAGACTCTTTTTCAGAAATTTCAGTCACTTTATCCCTTTAGACATTTCAGCCGTCTCTTTATCCCCATATTTCAGCCGACTTTTCAGACATTTCGTCACTTTATCCCAGACATTTCAGCCGTCACTTTATCCCAGACATTTCAGCTGTTTCTTTATCCCAGAAATTTCAGCCATCTCTTTATCCCTGACATTTCAGCCATCTCTTTATCCCTGACATTTCGGCCGTCTCTTTATCCCAGACATTTCAGCCGTTTGTTTATCCTAGACATTTCAGCCGTCACTTTATCCCAGACATTTCAGCCGTCACTTTATCTCAGACATTTCTGCTATCTCTTCATCCCAGGTATTTCAGCCGTCTCTTTCTTATTGTAAGTATAAGTTTCCTTGTTGTTTCTATTTTACTTGCTCGTATGTATTAATTCGTAAATTCATAATCGAAATAAATAAACGACAAATTCTGTCTGTCCGTTTGTGTGTCTGAAACCCCTCTAACTCGGGCCGCACTTGATCTACATAGACATATTCTACCTTTTTGGAATCAGAATGATCCCGGGATTGAAAATCTACCCTTCATCTGGTTCTTGAACAACAAGCATTGGGACTTGTGACCAAATGAGAAGGAAACTGAACAAATTAGCTTTTAAACTTTTTTAAATTTATAATGAGTTTAACGTAACAAAAACTTTGTGAATTTAATTTTTTTGTCTTAAACTCAATTCAAAATATCTCCAAAACTTTGTGAATTGAGAAATCCAATTTTATTTCTTCAAAATGCCAAGGAATCAGAATTAAAGTGAGAGGTTCCATGACGTGAGATTCGGAAGTTCCGCAGAGTTTGTGATTTGAAGAACTCAACTCAATTGTAGTTCCACGAAGTTTGCGATTGAAGAATTCAATTTTCGGCCTGAATTGGAATTTCGGCTCAAATCGGAGTTTCGGCTCAAATTGGGCTTTCGGTCCAAATCAGTATTTTGTCCGGAATTAAACTTATAGCGCGAGTCAGTGTTAAAGTGAGATTTTGAAGTTCCATGGCGTGAACTGAGGAATTCAAAGTTATTTCTTCAAAATTATCATTGCTGTTTTCTAATCTGGACCAGAGTTACCTTTAATTTGGGGCCTAATTACGCACGGAGTGTGGCTTTTAAGCTAGTAATCAATAAAATGGTTGGCATTAGATAAACAAACATTTGCAAAATTTGCGGGATGAAAACATACTAATAATCCGGCACTTTTCTCATACATTTCTTTATTTGACAGTAACGTAGTACGAATTTTATTATATATTGATTTCTTTGAATCATTTATTCGGGTCATTATGACAATGTTCCAACATCTGTTCATCTTTGGACTTTTTCCATTCGAATCAATTTTCTCCGTCTTTGTATTTATCCCAAAAATTTAGACCGCTTTATTTTATGAATTTATTTATGGCCGAATGTCTGACATGACATTGTAGCGGACCGTGTCGGCGATGAAGAAGTAGAACACACTTGAGTTAATATTTTCCTACTAGCCGCTCCAACTACATGAGAAAGTTGAATTTTAATTGTCCAAAGAAGACGAGGAAAAAGCTAACGACCATATTTTTAAAATAAAAATATTAAGTTGCATTTTCTTTTAATCGCCGACTAGAAATTCAATTCATTATGTTAGTCTGGAGACAAATTTTATTATCATTTAGATCTGGAAGAATCAAATCAATTTATTCTTTTTTTTTCAAACGATCAGTCTTGTACGTCTGTTTACTTAGGTCTCAGATCAGTTAAGTGATCATTGATTGACTTATTCGTTTTCTACGGCTTATCTATCGTTTGCAGGTTACGTAAAGCCAGAAATATTTTTAGATTATAAGAAGTTTGTTGGAGATAATAACAATCAAGTAATAAAAGTTTTACGAATTAACCCATAGCTGGGGGGAAGAGGCGAATTCATTCCTTTCCCAAGGTTTGTGCGTGTAAGTGAATATAACGAGCCTCACCGGAATTGGAACTCGGCTCTCCGATTAACACAACCCACACATCCGAGCTTAAAGCATCCGGTGTTCGCAAGTAGGTCACCCATCTTGTTACTGACCAGGCTCGACGTTACTTAACTTCTGTGATCTTACAAGAACCGGTGTTTCAACGTGATATGGCCGTAAGCCTAATTAAGTGATCAATTTTTTACCAGCTTTGCCCTAAAAAGTGACTAATGCTGTCAAAATTTGAAATAAGAAAATGTTATCAATATTAAGGTATAATATTTGATGCTTTTTCCATACTCCCCATCATACCAAACCAAACTGTGAAAATTACTAAATTATTGTTTATTTTGTTAATCTCTCGCAACCCCAAGGTTATCAGTTAATGCTTAGAATTTTCGTTTTCATGGTATGGACGAACGAACGAGACCCAAAATTCTGGATCCTTTTTAGAAAAAAAAAAAAAGGAATTGTAGACTAACTATTTTGCTGCTGTGGACGTAATTATACGTAATTATATACAACTGAATAACTTGCTGTCGACGTTTATAAAAGTTTTCTAGAAACAATAAATTGTCATCCCGTACCGTTTGTGTTATAAACTAACCAACGTTTAGCACTATTTCCGAACCAGTGTAAACATATAAAATATGACCGGATTTGCTTGATATGTATTATTTTGTGGATTGGCGCTGTCGTTGAGCTTACTTTGTACTTCATAGGATCTGCTCGGAACTAAAATGGCGGCGTTCATATGAAATTGCCGTAAATGTCTTGATAGATATTTTCTCTTTTTTTTCAAAACTGGCCTGAATAGCCTCGAAACAATGCTGTATTGAGGAAACAGAGTGTTAATCTTTGCTTTTCTTTTTTTTTCTAAGCTGCATACTTTAATATTATCAGTGTAAATCTTTGATGGAAACTAAAGAAAATGAATTCAGTTTTCATTTCCTTTTTCGAAATTGGTAGCATGAGAGGTGGAACCAACTCTAGTTACGGCTGAACATTGATCTAGCTACCTTAAAATCTCAGCCACCATGTTACGGTCGACTGAATTCAAATTTCCATTTTATCTCCAATTTCAAAATTGATAACATGAGTAGTGCTCGAACCGAAGAAAAACACCAAAAACACGACGATCACGAAGAAACACGAGTGTTTTAATGTGATGAGGACATAAGCCATATATATATATATATATATATATATATATATATATATATATATATGATTTGATATTGATGGCTCTTAAGTGAAACACAAGATAAAATTAGGAATGAATGTGGGAAGATAACGTTACCGTAAACGTTCAGGAAGAAAGGACACACCTGGGAAAAATCAGCATTCGAATTAATTGGATTTTACCTGAAGTTCTAACACTGAACTTTGGTAGTTACGCTAAAGACGTAACTTTTACAACCACGGCGCAGGCTAAAAAATATTTTGTACCTAGAAACAATGGAATCAAATGGGGAAAGCGCGTCATTCCACTGTAATCAGTTACGAATTTCTCTTCACAATTTCTTTCTTTTTAATTTCTTTAATTTTAGATTTATTGTAGATATTATCGAAATGCTGCGAATATAGGTTCACTTTTTAATTATTTGCATTCAAAAGTTTGCATATATTTTAGAACAATATAAAATATATTCAACTTTGAATTGTATGTATTAGGTTTGGTTTGGTTTGGTTTGTTTTACGACATATCAACCTCAATGGGTTATTTAATACCGACAACATTTTTATTGCTGGTAATATTTTTTTCTTCAAAAATGTATTGCTGGTAATATTTTTTTCCAAAATATATTGCTGGTAATATTTTTTCATCAAAAATGTATTGTTGTTAATATTTTTTTCAAAAATGTATTACTGGCAATAATGTATTACCGGTAATAATTTTTTCTTCAAAAATTTATTGCTGGTAATTTTTTTTCAAAAATGTATTGCTGGTATTAAAACACTTTCATAGTGTTTTGAGTCAAGTTTAGAGGTTAACTATTTGCCCATAGCTGGGATCCTAACAGGTGATACCACACCTGGTCAGGGTTAACTTGGAAACAACAGCATTTAAGAGATAATTCCACGCTCCTCAAAACCTCCTGATAAAAATCCTTGCTATTGGATGTAGTTTATCGTCATACTCAGGACGGTGTATGTATGAGATTTAAAATAGTAATTTCGAAGAATTGTTACTTTTTGTTTAATTGTTTAATTTTTATTTAAAAATAAATGCAAAAGGTATAGAATCATATTATGAAATGGACAAAATCCGAAAATTATTTTAAGACACTTTTATGTTTATACATTCTTTTTATAGATACAAATATTTAAGTAAATGCTCTGTTTATAATAAACAATATTTACTTGTCTGAATGTCCGAGAAATTTTCATAGAAAATATTAGTCCTCCCACAGGAATCGAACCTGTATCCAATATGGAACCGTCATATAGCTTGACGTGCCTTTAACCGATTTGGCCACAGAGGAGCGTTCGGTTAGAAAGGTCGAATTTACTGCCTTTGGACTTCAATCTTCTATTAATCTCTCATGTACATTCATATATGCTCATTATTATAAATAGAGCAATTACTTAAATATTTGTGTCTATAAAAAGAATGTTTAAACATAAAAATGTCTTAACACAGAATCATATATTTGATTGATATAATATACCCCAACCGTTTATTATTTTATTATTTTACGTGTTAAAATAAGCTCATTGATATTCTATAACCTTTATCCGTCTTTCAACCACAAATTTTATTAACATTTCTACTCTTGTTTATTATTAACATAATCATGTCTTTCAATAATGAACTACAAGTGTTTTATTCTATTAATATCAGAGTAGAATGGGTGCCATCTTCTGTCTTTGGAACTATTGTTTTGGCAAGGTGGAGTGTTGTTAGTTTTGCAGAATGTGAAAAAAAACATTGTCTTGCATGAATATATTCATTCGCTTAAAGCTTCTTGGCAGTGAGCTGTGTCAATGCAAAAACATGAAAAACTTGCAATAATTCTCGATATTTATCTTGATGCCATCATCAAATTTCAAAGGACCTTTAATTTTCTTACCTAGAATAATAACCTACAAAATTACTCCATCTACCCACTATCATCTTTCATGGCTATTTTTGTGAAGGTTGCAACCTTCTACCCAGCCATTATGCTCACCCAATGAAGTTTTACACCCTTGTGCAAATTAATTGAAAAACAAACTGCTTTAGTTCCATTTCTTTCACTATACGGTCAGTTTTAGAGCCACTGGAGTGACAGGGTGGAATCGATTTTTATTTTTCCTCAGATTAGATCATTAGCAGTGGTGTGCAGTAATATGAATCTATTTTCAGGGTGTATGATGAAATTAGTTTGGCCTTTAAAAATATTACGTCATCCATGATTGCATGAGATTTTTATCATGCCCAGACATTATTGTTTTAACTGTCGATTAGTTGTCCTATGGCCATTGTCTGTGATGAATGTTACTTCAAGGAAGTGTACGAAAATTGTAACACTGCATTAACACACTGTCAAGCCTTACCAGTGAGCAAATCAAAGTCCTATAGACTGTTCCGGAAACTCTCCTGATTTAAATCTAATCGAGAATCTGTGGTCAATCTTCGTGGAATGGACATACAAAGTACTAAGATGTGCACTGTGTCATGTTTCATTGAAAAAATGCAAAAATGAATAAATAATAATGGAATTATTTGTTTTGTTTCAATTAATTTACGTGTGTAAAGGGCGTAAAATTGCTACAAAACTTACCGTTGAGAAATCTGCTACGCGCATGTTTCTCTCTGTGGTGTGTATTTAAACACTATTAATTTGGTTATTTTCATATATTTAGCCAATTTTATTATTATTATTATTATTATTATTATTATTATTATTATTATCCTTTTCTCACTTTTGACATTTTGTTTAGGGTCACATCACGTTGAAATGCCAGTTCCCGTACGATCATCGAAGTTAAGCAACGTCGAACCTAGACAGTATTCAGATGGTTGACCGCTTGGAAATATCAGGTGCTGTAATCTTGGATTTGTGGGTTGTGTAATGGATAACGACTCGGTTTGCCGAGTTCCAATTCCAGTCGGGTTCGTTATATTCACTTACGCGCAAATACCCTTGGGAAAGGCATGAATCCACGTCTTCTGCTATGGATTAATTAGTAATACTTCTATCACTAAAACATTAACATCTTCAAAAATAAAATTGAATTGCGTACAAAATATATATATTTCGGCCTTCAATAACTCACATGGGTGTTGATATGCCGCTAAACAAAAAGAACCAAACAACATAGATATCCGTCCTGGGTATGACGATAAACTACATCCACGTCCGGAGTAAGAAGATAAACTACATTCGCGTCCTGGGCAAGACGATAAACTACGTCTAACAGCAAGATCTATGATCAGGAGCGTGGAACCACCTCTTAATTGCTGGTGTTCCCACATCCACCCTGACTCGGGGTGGTAGCACCTGTTAGGGACCCAGCTATGGGTAAATAGTTAACCCCCAAACTGGGGTCAAAATACCTATGAAAGTGTAAAAATGGATTTTAATCACAGAAATACTTTTTAAAAATATTATTACCAGCAATAAATTTTTAAAGAAAAATTATTACCAGTGATACATTTTGGAAAAAAAATGTCTTGTCGGCATTAAATATCCCATTGAGGTTGATATGCCGTAAAACAAAATAAACCAAACCAAACTAACATAGATATACTCATTACATATTCAACTTTTAACCAATATCAGTCATGATAATACATGAGAGAAATTAATTTTTGTTTAAGATAGGCAACCGGCTGCTAACTACACTTGGCCTGTAGAAGACTGCCACTCTATGCAATATCATTTTCGTCTGTTTAGGCTTCACTTTCAACTATTTACAAACAGTATTTTTGAGTGGAAAAAAATAACATAACTGAAATAAATAAGCCTAAATAAACTAGAATAATTGTTTCCAGAAATTAGGAACACATGCTTAAATGGTGAAGGCGTTACTTTGGAACTGCTTTTTGGAATTGGCCGAGGGATATCGCATTTCACTTTTGGTTGGAGTACAAGCGGCAATTCTGGGAATTGATGTGATGGAATATTTTGTTGGCTTTCGTTAAAGAAGCACTTTCGCCTCTTTACTATTCTCATGTCAAGTAGATATGGCGAAAAAAAATGGTGAGTTTTAGTGGTTAAAGTCCTTTTGGCGCGAAAATATAAATGTTATATCTTTTACACACACATACACATACACACAGTCGCTCATATGTATATAATAATAATAATAATAATAATAATAATAATAATAATAATAATGTTCCGATAGGCTCATTGAAGGAATCCTTGGTAGTCCAAGCCTTAAAGAAATACAAAAACGTGTACTCACAAGTAAAACTCACACCTTGCAAAGGGCTTTATCGATGTAAAGTGTGTGTGATCTTTGTTTTTTGTTTTTAAAAAATGCTCACTGGAAAATGTCATGATGCCATTTCTGACCTTAGGTCTCTGTTTGGGAAAGAAATTAGTATAGACCAGAAATCAAAAGAAATAAAACAATAATAATAGTAGTAGTAATAAACTGTAAAAATTACAGCTCACATATACTGAAGAGCTTTTTATCTATGTAAAATGTGCGTGATCTTAGATTATTATTTATTTTACAAAAATGATCAGTGGAAGATGTCATGAAGTCAATGAAGTTATTTCTGGCCTTAGGTCTCTGGTTGGGAGCCGGAATGAAATATGTATATAACATAAATCAAAGGAAATAATAACAATCATGATACTACTACTACTAATAATAATAATAATAATAATAATAATAATTGATGGAGATCATCCATAATGCAATATCTCCGGTTGAAAAGTCGAAAAACCATGCGAAATAATAATAATAATAATAATAATAATAATAATAATAATAAAGGACCTTGAAATAGAAATCTCAAAAATGTGGCATATGGGAACATCAACAATCCCTGTTGTAGTTGGAGCCCTAGGACTGGTTGGAAAAGATTGCAGTAGACGAATTGGAGGGATTCCTGGAAGCCCATGCCTCAAGGAGACACAAAAATTTGTTCTGACAAGTACAGCCCACAACTTACGAAGGGCTTTATCTATGTAATTTAATTCTTTCTTTTTTTTCTGTCATTGGAGGCCCCGGGCAGTGCTTCCTGACCCTCGCTATCTTATTAATATTTGCCACATTTATATACGTTCCAAATTAAACTAAGCACAACTAGATTATTAAAGGATGAAAAATGTTCGCGGATTTTGACGTCATACTGTGATCTTTTTTTTTTTTTTTTTTTCGTCCAAATCCGTGAATTTGTTTTGCTCATGCTAAGTGTCGATATAAAATTCAATACTTTTTAACTGTAATGTTGAAACATTTCCAGTTGATGTTAAAAATTGCCGCAAAACATTGCTGGTTTATTTAAAATGGAATCATCTATCATGATATATCTTTAATTTGTATTTTGATATACAGTATTTATTTTCGAATTTTTCTACTTGAACTGTTCACCTATATTGCATATGATCCATTATTGTACATAATTAGGTTGAAATAAAATTTGTATTTTATATGCATACTACCTTAAAAAAATTGAGATATTCAGAGTGGCAGCACTTATTAAAAATAAACATATTTTTTATATAACAGAAAAATAAACTTTATCTTAGATTTTTCTTAATTTCTTTGTAATGATGTAAGTTTTATGTAAAACTAGCAGTAGACCCCGGCGTTGCCCGGGGATGTAACAGTAAGAGATAGATCAAGTATCGACCATCATAAAGACTGAAAAATAAAATTGACAAAGACTAGTGTTTAAGGTTGACGGACACGCATGTCTTAATTATTTTTTTTGTTTTGTTTTTTACGAAACATTGTTTTCAATCGTTATGAGTCTACCGATTGAATAGAATTTTATTATAAACAATTGTCTTGTAAATGAAATTTTTAAAGCATTCTGAATGTAAAAATAAAGAAAAAAAGTGTGCAAGAAAAAAAGAAACACGACCTGCCAAAAAAAAAAAATGTGAAGTTTTGTTGAAATCGGTTGAAAAATGTAGGAAATCCGATCCCATATATAAACGAACAAACACACACACACAAACAAACAACCTGGGTTTTGTAATAAGTATAACTCGATATGAGCTGTCCCCCTTTCATTCTCGCGATGCCGTTTTAATCATGTTTTCTAATTGATTTTGTACAAAAACAATTGTGTTTTTTCAATTTTTGGCGCTGTCAGAACCACCACAAGGTAATTTTATGTAGTCCTGTGAAGTTTTGTTGAAATCGGTTGAAAAATGTAGGAAATCCGATCCAATATATAAATGTACACACACACACACACACACACACACAACCTGGGTTTTATAATAAGTATGATGATTAAACCTTTATATGTGTTAAATAAAAGGGCACACTGAGATTTCTAGATATGCTTGGTAACCAGTTCAGAAAAAGGGCAACAAAAAAAAACATACCTGACATAGCTCATACTGTGCATCCATAGACGATATCAGAGAGGTCGTGATATCAGAGAGGTCGTGATAACAGAGAGGTCGTGATAACTCTATAATCTTGACTTTGGTTAACTACCACTGCGTCAATGTATTATTATTATTATTATTATTATTATTATTATTATAAATCAACACGTTCTTATGTTCCTTAGCGCGTATGTTACACCTTGCCAATACTTATATTCAATTTACAAAAAAGTTTAAATTTTCGCAGCCATTACTCAATATTATTATTATTATCATTTGTGTATGTTTCCTGCTTTGTATCCTGCAGTGCCGGGTCTAAACTATGGTTCTTAAGCCCTATAGGAGAATTGCCATTTAATTGATAGCACTTTTCTTAGTATATTGGATGCACCTAGTAGGGCAATCTTCTGGGCAAGTTGTTTGTTGATCTTGCATGGGACACTGTTAGATAATATCAGATCTGTTGGCTTTTATTTCCCTGTCAGTTTAAATTGGTATGTCCCAGAGGATAGTTACATCGTTATTTTGTCTGGTTGATGCTAATACCATCTCTCAGTGGTTTCCATTTTGTGCTTCTTGCATATCTTCCAGTGCACATATGTCGCTACCTTGTTATGTCTGTGGGGATATTCATTTTTTGCTAGTTACGGACATCCTGAGATAATATGGTCGAGAGTTTCTTCATATTTTCTGCAGATCCTGCATTTCAGGTTAGTTCCATCCTTGATTATCTGACAGTGATAGGATCTCGTTGAGAGGCTTTGGTCCTGACCTGCAATAATTAGGCATTCTCAGCTTTCAACCCGGTGCACCTCAGCCACTGATGTTTTCTGTTGGTCCACATTTGCTTCTTTCGTTCTTTTTAGGTATTTACCATGCAACGCCTTGTCCTCTCAGTTTGTTTGTTTTTTTTTTTCGTTTTTTTTTTTTGTAATTTCATTTGGCCAATTTGTCTTGCTTTCTGTTTAACTCGTTTGATGTAAATGGTATTCGCTTTGTTTACAGGGTTCCGGGTATAATAATCTTGAAGAGAGCAGCTTCTTTGTTGAAGGAATGGATTTGGTGTTTTACTATTTGTAGGAGAGGGTCATTGGTTTTTGTGTGGTAGGCTTCCAATCCGATTGTTGTAGTTTTTAGGGTTAGTTCAATTTGGATTAGATCTCGGCCTCCTAAAGCTCTTGGTACGTACAGCCTATCAATATCTGATTTCAGATGGTGCATCCTCATTTGGGTAAGCATTTTTCTGGTCTTGGCGTCCAATTTTCAATATCATTCAACTTCCATTTAATAATGCTGTTAAATGTATGTTACTTCGGGTATAGCCAAGGTGTTGATATCCTTCATTTTATTGACCCCAATTAAGTTCACTCTTTAGCATCAAACGCACTCTCCTATAATATTCTTTTTCTTCATAATTGAATGTTGTATCCTGTCTCTTTCATTAATTCCTTAGCATTTGTATGTACCATCTTGGTCTAGTTCCTTAATCTTGTTGTTGATATCAAAGTCTAAATCCGTAGTTTTCA